TACTCTTCTGCGCGCTGTGTTAAGTCTCTCTTGATGAGCCTAATTGTGTCATGCCTGGGTCATTAAGTGCTGGGGCTAAACACCTCGCTGCTGTGATGTATCAGGTGTAATCCAATCTAATGTGATGACTCGAAGGCGAGGATTTAGGCAGCAGAGGGCGGGATGGAGTACTTATCCTCCGGGATGAGGCCGCGCTGGAGCCGCGGGGGGAGTAGGTCGATAACTACAAGATAATAGCACGATCTCTCACCTGGAGATTGGCCTCCCGGGAAGATAATAGCACATAGGATTCTGTCGTTCAAGCAGAGAGAAATTCAGCTGTAACCCCCTCTCTTTTCTCCCGCTCTCTCTTTCTCTTGTAAAGGGTGGTTGCCCCGTAGACAAAACTCACAGGAACCAGTGCCGAGCGTGCCGATTGAAGAAGTGTCTGGAAGTGAACATGAATAAAGACGGTAAATGGACATAATTTAATTATCACTTTGGCCATAGACACACCATGCAGTGGCGTTTGGACTGGGGTGGGCAAAGTGTATTAAGGCTTTTAATCAAGGCTCAAAGGAAGTTGATAATTACCCAGTCTTTACTTGTTTTAAAGGGGATATTATTTATACTGGTGCTGTGGTACTGTGCTGATAGATTACAGCTCATTAAAGCCAATTATTTTTTCCTCTACACAAACAACATTTGATTATTTTTTTAGGAGCAGTTAGGATAATGACAATCCTTTTCGAAAAATACCATAAAGAAATCAGGTAAACAAGCCATTATTCCCTGCAGAGATCTTTCCCCCCTCACTCTGTGTTCCTCTGCCGGCTCGTTTCACAGCCGTTCAGCACGAGAGGGGGCCCCGGACGTCCACCATCCGCAAACAGGTCGCCCTATATTTCCGGGGCCACAAAGAGGTGAACGGATCGTCGACCCATTTCCCGGGATCCTCTCTGCCCGGCCCTCCCTTCTTCACCACGGTCACGCAACTGGAGCCTCACAACCTGGAGATGAGCACGGTAGCCACCACGCCAGAGAGACAGGCCATCGTGGGTCTGGCGCAGCCCACACCGAAGGTAGCTCATACTTCGGGATGTCTTATTATTACACAATTATTTTTTATGATTTTTCTTTTCTTATCTCCCTGGATTTAATAGCTGTAAGTTCTACTTGACGTATAAGTAGTTGTCCACCTCTAAGTCAACAGAAATCACTGATCAATCTGTATACCATGGGTTTAATCGCTATTTATAACATTTAATGTCATTTTTAAAATCTAGAATTATCAGAATATACACGTTCTTAGTAGTTTATGGTATTCCATGGATATTTGTATTATACCCTTCCCAAATGTTATTATAGGATTACAGCTTTTTTTCGCAAGGGTTAGAAGTTGGAATTCTTGTCCAGATTTAGCAGCCTGTAAGAGCCACAAATCCGCCAATTAGATTTCTCACTGTAAATCCACCACAAGCAACACTAATAATTATAAAACCAGGTGCCGGGGCTTGGAATTTGACCTTTGTTGTGCGCAGCTCTCTGAATTGAGTTTTATTATAACACAATTATAACACAAGCTGTTGTATGATGATGATGATAATGATGATGATGGTGATGATGTGATGACAACTATAATCTTTCTCTTCCTCCAGTATCCCCATGAAGTCAGCGGTACCCCCATGTATCTGTACGAGGTGGCGACTGAGTCTGTGTGCGAGTCGGCGGCGCGCCTCCTGTTCATGAGCATCAAGTGGGCCAAAAGTGTCCCCGCATTCTCCACGCTCCCTTTATCTGATCAGGTACACTTTAGAGTGATGGGCTGAGGGAGGGGGTTTAAGAGTTTTAAATAAGGAGCTCACGGTCTGTCCTGCAGGGCCTTTATTTGGCAGCGATCAGCACTCAAGAAAAAAAAATGTCAGGAATCGACGTATAAATTTCCGTTTAGATTTGATGTCAGATGATGTTGTAAACTGGGACTTTCGCCATCACGTTTTACGCACGAGTTACTGTTGTACTGGCACTTAATGCGATTCAAAGGGGCTCATTGCTTCTTTAAGCTTTACAGTGAGAGTTTAACACTGAAACGCTTCCTCTTTTACAGCTGATTCTGCTGGAGGACGCTTGGAGGGAATTGTTTGTTCTGGGGATCGCGCAGTGGGCCATACCTGTGGACTCCACTACTCTTCTAGCCGTTTCTGGTAGGCACTGTACCTCTGCGAATGGCTACAGGTCACTCCAGGCCTCGTGAGCCCTACAGGTGTGAATGTGTTATTGTGTGTTAACCTGCATATTGACAATTTCTCCATGTTTACTCCATGTTTTACTTGTAGGAATGAACACTGAAAACACAGAGTCCCAGCGGATGAATAAGATCTTGTCTGAGATTCAAGCACTTCAAGAGGTGGTCACCCGATTCAGACAGATGCGCCTCGATGCCACAGAGTTCGCCTGTTTAAAATGTATCGTGACATTCAAAGCTGGTGAGTACTGTCATCTCTCTGGGTATTTTACAGCGCTGTCATTAAACTTGACAAAGGCTCCCAATGGAAATCATCATTTCTACTCAACTCATTACCAGTGTGCTATTATTTATGAATTACACCAGCACCTTTTAAACCCTCGCCCCTGTCTTACAGTTCCTACACATGGCAGCACTGAGTTAAGGAGTTTCCGCAACGCCAGCGCCATCGCCGCACTACAGGACGAAGCACAGCTCACTCTCAACAGCTACATACACACCAGGTGAGATTCAACCCAACGATGCTTTGAGCACGTTTTGCACCGTCTCCTGCAGCCACATTCATTATGAAGTTAATGAGGCAATAAGCCACTGTGGTTTCCTGTAATTTTGCACAGGTGCAACTGTCGAAGCGCGTTTTTTTTCTTTTTCTTTTTTTTTTTAAATTGGCAGCAGTTTTGTCACAGGTGTGCGTTAATTGGAGCGGCTGCGTCAGACAGTCCACGCACAGTAGAGGCTGTTTCTGACCCCCGGTGATGTGTTTCAGGTACCCGACTCAGCCCTGTCGCTTCGGTAAGCTGCTCCTGCTCCTGCCGGCGCTCCGCTCCGTCAGCCCGTCCACCATAGAGGAGGTGTTCTTCAAGAAGACCATCGGAAACGTGCCCATCACCAGGCTCCTCTCCGACATGTACAAGTCCAGCGATATATGAAATTCTCGCCATCTGTCCAGCGCGCATGGAAAAGACTTGAGCTGTAGGCCCACAGACCCACCCAGCAGTCGGCAGGATGTCAAATCATAGCAGGTGTAAGCATGGGTTGAATTTTTGCTGAGCACAAAAATCTTTTGGGCTATTATAAAATAGACCGTTTAGGCCTAGGCTCCGATGAAACAAAGACTGCAACACAGCCGGAATTCACCAAGTAGCCTGTTAACAGTATCTCTAGTTAAGGACTAGCCTGTAATTTCCATTATAGAATTGCCTGTATGATACTGAAAAGTGCAACCTGTGGCGTGGGCAAAGAGCCCACCGTGTTTAAATACCGCCTAAAGACTCTGGAGAGCTCCTGCCAAGTGTGTCTGACAAAGAAATGTTATATATTAAGAAGTTTTTCGAGTGTCTGTGAGACCAATGAGCTTGAAGACCAATTCAATCTTTTATTGCTGTGTTCAATCCCAATGGAGGAAACCAAAAAAGGATGGCGCATGCGTAATAGGGGATGCGAGTCGCTGTCCCTCGATCCGGTGCTGAAACCAAACGCACGGAGGCAACGATGAGGAGGCGGCAACTCTATGTGAAATTAGGGGAGGAGGGGGGGTTGGGGGTTGGGGGGGGCGAAAGGCTTTGAAGGAATATGCTTGCATTGCCTCCTGACTGTAAAACTACATTCATCTGAAGACGGTGTTTGTATTTAAGTGGTTACTGTCCTGTTTGTGTTGGTGTGTCCTGTTTGAGGCGCAGCATTAAAATGTTTAGGTCGACTTTGTGAAGTTAGACACTAACAATGGATAAAAGAAAATTCAGCACTTGGGAATGTTTTTTTTTTGTGACCTGTGATGTTTTTATTCTACTGTAAATACTTACAGTTATAACTATTTAGAGTTGTAACCAAGAGAATAAAATACACTGGATTCAACTGTTTTCATATAACCTAGATATAAAACTACCAGCTGCAGTTACAAAGCATGTTTGTAATTCACATTATTGCAAATTATAGCGTTACTCTTCTCAGATGTACTTTTGTTGTCATTGATAAGTACAATTTCAAAAGATTTCCCAGTGACACTTTATAATAAGGGTATAAAATACATGCTTAAGTAATTAATAACTTATGTATAACTTGTAATTTGATGCACGATGTGTTGTGAATTAAGAAGAGTTTAATGCTTAATGGATCATCAAGTAATGACCATTCATTTACCGTTAGTTGACGCATTAATTTATAAATGAGCTGTTATCCAGTTACATTAAAAAAAGTCAGCTCCATATGTTCTCTGAAAGCAGAGCAGCACCTGTTCTCATAGAAAATATGAAGCAGTTTTTTATCAAACTGGTAGTCAGATGTAAGCGTCAGCATGCTGCTGCATGACCCAGCTGTCATTGTTTTTATCATGTTTACATATGGTGGCATATGAGTTAAAAAAAAAAAAAAAATTATAACAGACACATATGTTCCAGCTTTAAACAACAAGGCCAAAGACCCGCCAAATAAAAGCTTTCATAGGCATTAAATCATCATACGTCATGCATTAGTTATGAATTATTTAAGCATGTTTTGTACTTGTATTATCAAGTGTTACCAGTTTTCCTTTACAAGTAGTCCAACCTATTTCTAAATCAAAGCTCAGGACAGTTTTAATAAACTCTCTAATCAGCCATAGGCCTAAATCCTCTTTGTAATTGAGATGGTAGATTATGTATTTATTGAAAAATAAATGTCATAACAAAGTTAGAATACCTGTAATGGCTGTGGCAGTTGCAGAATGAACTTGGCTGTCCAGTGTGGCATGTTAGGTATAGGTCAACAGTCCAAATCAACAAATGTACTTATGCGTGGAGACATTTCACCTATTTTATTGGAAAATCTTCAAAATAAACAAAAATGGCACAGCAGTATACAAATCTCAAAATGCATATAGCCTGTAGAAATACTGCAGTTCCCTCTGTGTAAATTACTTCTTTCTTGCTAGAAAATCATTGTGATAATTGGGCAGGTGCTGGTTGATATACACACACGTGCTTCCTTTTGAAGAGAGGATCAACTAAGTGTGATTTGAAAGTCAAGGCCCATCAAGTGTGTGTGTGTGTGTGTGTGTGTGTGTGTGTGTGTGTGTGCGTGTGTGTGTGTGTGTGTGTGTGTGTGTGTGTCTGTCTGTTTAGTTGCTAGTTACGGTGAGCAACATGCCAGTATTAGATATATATGATGGGAAATGGTGTGGGTCTTACAAGAGCTCTGCATACATAGAACGCTCATTCAATGTTACTATAGAAATGAATATATTCAGACATAGCTAAATGATAAATACATAATATATCCATGTTAGTGGCATTTCCAGACATAAAGAGAAATTACTATAAATTACTTTGAACCACAGTTATGTGTCGAACATTCTTGACTCCAATTAGAAGGTGAAAACAAACACCGATCAGGGTCACTAATTAAACTAAAAGAGGCAGTGAATGATTTTTTTTGGGGTGGGGTGGGGGTGGGGGGCGAGGAGGAGAAGTTTCATTGAAATGTTTATTGTCTGAGTGAAACCTGGAGCAGTGAAGAGAGCTTTGGGTTGTTGAGCCAAGCTGGGCTGAGCAGGGTCGAGCCGGACCAGGCCAAGCAGAGCCTTTTCTTTTCAGGCTTGTCTGACTTTGGATGGGGTGTAGCTCTTGTCCACAGACTCATCCTGTAGAAACATGTGCAGGCATCGTTCGTTCTGGGCTAGGGGGTGACCGGCCACTCTGAAACGCACAAGAGCAAAAAAGGCAGGTTTGAAGGCTCAGTAACTTTTCAAAAGGCGAGGCTTGATGACATGATTGTACCTATAGACACAAGGACACACAGGGACGGACAACACAGGCAAAGACTGACCGGAACACTGGACTCACTTAAGGTAAGAAGTCTGAGAAAGATTTAGCATAAAGGACCAAATTGCATCCAGACCAAAAAAAAAAAAGAAAAAAAAAGACAAGATTAGGAATCATTTGTATGTGCATTGAAACACTGGAGAATGGAAAGCAGTAAAAACAAAAAGTGACATGCTACAGGTTTAAGGTAAGATATTCCATAATGTCTTACATTTCATTCCACTAATTTATTAACTAAAGGCTGAACAATTCAACAACCATCTCAAACATCTTCCAGTGTTTCAATCCTACAGGAACTACAAATACACAAAAACTGCACAAAGATACTCTTATCTCCATGTCCTTAAACATTTTTGGTGGGCGTATTGCTCTACATTCAGTCACTGACAGTATGCATATACCCTGTGTCCCAATTCCTTACTGAACACTATAGTGTAAACAGTACTGTATACCAATCTTCACAGTATAGTTTTTGCAGCTATACAAGAAATCAACATTCAGCACTGTTAGATGTTAATCTAACTGCGACTTAAAATGTCACTGCCAATTAATGTTTTCCCCAAGATTTAGTGGTTTGTTTGTTTGTTGTTTCCTGGAGCTGTTAAACCAACATGCACAAATTACTTTTTATTTTCTCCATTTCCTTTTAGTCCATCAACAAGGTTATGTTGCATCCTGCTCCTCTAGGGGTTTAAGTCCCTGACAATGAATTGCAGCATCCCCTACATCCTTTGCTGCATGCCATTCTCTATCTCTCCTCTCATTTTCCGTCATCTTGCTACTGTCTCTGGCATAAACAAAGATGTTTTTTTCAGCATTTGTCCAGTGTGAACACACTAAAAATTCAAATCCTGCTTGGAATTAGTGTGGTACAGATCTGGGACACAGCTATAGACAGGAAATGTGGGATGACAGAGAGGGGATGACATGCAAAAAAATGTCTCCTGGACAGGTACATGTATTCATCCTAACCACAAGGCTACAATGACAATCTCTGCAAAATTGACAGAATAATCAATGATCAATATGCCAATTAAAACATTTTGTTAATAGTAATAATGTAAATACTCTGCCTGCATGAATGTTTGGGTTATTGTATCACTACTGAAGAGGTTTATTGACATTTTGAAAACTCTTTTTTTTAGACATCATATACTGACTTGCAGCACAGGGACAACTAGGCAGCATTCAGGACACAATTACTGTACATTGCATACAACTCGTACAGACATGGGTTTATGGATGTGGGTGTGTGGTCACAAGATTTTGTACTTTGCAATAAAAGAAGTAATGATTTTATTTCCTCTCAAGTGTCAATTAAAACTCATAAAGGGAACAGACCCATCAACCCAGAATAAAGACACACTACAGCTTTTCTGTGAGATCTTCAACTTCCAACCTTTTCGAAATGAAACTCCACAAATCACAGTTTGGAGGGGCAGGTGGGGCAAGTTCATTTTTTTCCCCCAACATCATATCCATTTATACCCTGGTACAATTTGCTGAAATTAATCTGTACTGTCACCTTCATTACAGCTGTGTGTTATCACTACATCAAGGAAATACTTTACGTTTCTGACTGTTTTCCTCTGTTAAAGTCACTGTGACATCAAGCTTCCCTTAATGTCCCTTTAGATGACGCAAATGAGCTTAATGAGAATGAGCCCGTGCACCTGAGACCCTAAAACATTTCGTTTTTCTTACAGTACATTTCTCAGAAAAGATCAAGATGATGACATTGTGCGTATGCATGCATAACCTAAAAAGGGAAATATTTCAAATAAATTAAGCTGCCCCGGAGGGGAAGCACTGACAGATCAAATACCTAGGCAAATCACTGGAAAGATCAAGATTGCCCCAAACAAACCCTGTTTAATAGGTTTTGGAAATACTGACATTGAGGACAAGGTGCAGCAGAAGAATGCTAAAATTTCAAGGCCTTTCTTTCTTTATGAAGTGAGTATGTATGCCCTTCCTTTGTTTTTTTTTCCACCTGAAGTATGAATTATGTTTGAAAAATAAAAAACTGACGGTTATCTCTTCTTCTTCTCACTTGTTTGACAGTGACAATCATGTTTACCATTCCAAAAGATTTCTTCTTCACAATGCTCTCAATCACAGATTAAACAATGCTGCCAGCCCCATCGGCCCGTATTAAGTATGAACAATGATATGATCAACAGCAGTGTTTCATTCATTGGAAGCAAGAGGGGAAAAACTCTTAATTGCCAACACATTCTCATCTTCTTTAAAAAAAAAAAAAAAAAAAAAAACATATTTATGGATTTTAATTTTCTCAACTGTCTTTCCACACTTAATATTCCAACAGGAAACATTGATGCATTTGCACATGAAACAAAGATAATGGCCAAGTCTGCAATCAAAGCAAATAATTACAATCACACTGTAACTTTTATTGTTCCGCAGCTGAAAATGAGGACATGCTGGATCAAAAATAAGCAGAGGTGCACACACCAGCCCATGGAACCACGCGCTGTAATTTGAGCTGCAATTATCATAAATTACACATCAACAATAAAACAAATGTGGGAAAAATTATGTTGTGGGGTGCACACTCGAGTCCTCTTTGGTTATTCTTGTCCTTTGCGAGGTAATTATAAAAGAGAATTAAGGAGGATAGTGAGAAAAAGACCTGCCTGTCTCTGCGGGTTCAGTTTGTTAACAATATGAAGAGAAGTGAAAAAGTTGAATCTACTTATTGCACAAAGTGTTTCATTGTTCGTGAGAGTTAAAATAACACCTCGCTGAGGCAGAAGCTGCAAACGACTGCGACTACAAAAGGAAAAAATTGTAAAGAATAAATTGTTTTAACCTCATGGCAAACTAGTGGAGGAACGGAGAAAGACGGAAGATGTGGGAAGGCTTACTTGTTGAGAAACTGCTCCAGACCCTGTCTCCGCTCCTCAATGAAAGAGTCATCAAATATCCCATCATCCCCTCGAAACGGAAGCTGCCGGATAAGAGCTTTTCCTGGGAGAGGAGGGACGACCACCTGTGATAACAATCATAGAGCAGCAGTTGGACACACATATATAATTTATTGAAGAGAGTTTTAGTATTTACAATTAGGACATAAACAGTAAAACAATCCTTAAGTGAGCCTGTACAACGTGATTGGATCAAATCATTTTTTTATATGCCATCTCTGCGGTTTATAGGCCGCATCAATAGCAGGACAAAAACACAGACAGCATATAGATGAAATCTTCCTTTACAGGCGGCAAAAGGTTCAGAAGATCTTTGAACAACTTTCTCCCTCATACAAATACATTGGCGGCCAATGTTGTATGCTGATTTGATAAGCCAAGTACTCAAGAGGCTTTGTGTCTGAGTTCACCTCAATGGCTCACCTTGCTCTCCCTCTCCAGCTCCGCTCTGAGCCACTCAAAGTCGCTGTACCGCCTCCGAACACTAGACTCCTTCAGCTTGAAGATGGGTAGGTTGGTCTGCGGAGACACACACACACACACACACACACACACACACACACACACACACACACACACACACACACACACACACACACACACACACACACACACACACAC